TTGTCGTCGTCTGGCTTGCGGGCTTTGTGAATCACCGATAACTTTAGTTTACAGGTACGGAGGCTGGTGGTAAACAGGGCGGTGATCGTTCCTTCTGCATCTTCCACGACCCCTTACCTTGCTACCGCCAGACTGGACAGCGAAGGTCTTGGAAGGTAACTTCCAGAAAGACCAGATTCGTCCATGTTAAACCTGGTCGTCACTGTACTGTCCTTCCTCCATAATCTCACGTAAAACGGAGGAAAATCTCGCCGCCCGCCTGGTCAGCCTCGCTTCCTCACCACCAATGTTGATGTTGCTGACCTTGTTCCTCTTCTTAAACCTATGCAGCCAACCAGAGGAAGCATTGAAGGGTTTGGGCTCTGCAATTCCCCAGTTCGTGTCACTGCTCGCGTATAGCTCACGTGCGTGCTCCTGCACTGGCGTGTCCACCGCCATGTTGCGTCGCGCCTGGCGCGCAAATAACTCACCAGCAAAAGTTTCCACTTTTGCCCGGCACCCTGTTCTGGCAATGCCTGATAGATGAAACGCCTGCAGACTTTGTGATTTTCATGTGGTCTTTGATCTTGGCTGCATCCTTCTTGATTATGCGAATCGTAGATTACGTTATTTGCTCCCATCTTTGGTACTTGAGATCAACTTAGCGTCTTGCTTTTCTCCAAATCTTGAACAATTTGGTACTTCACCTCGTGTAGCAATAGACGTCGTGTCTTCTTTGGTTTAGTGCCGCTGGGTCAGGTGAGAAGGTCTCTCTCTGGGGAAGCGGTGGTGGTCGGTGAGTATTTCACGGAACAATGGATCTTGCGTTCTTGGATGACCTTGAGGATGAAGCACTACCGCGGCTAGGTCAAGCGTCGTCTCTCCTCCTCCTCCCTCCCGGGGTAATCCGTCCATAATACTTTTAAGCCAATTACAGCTAGCAGCAGGGGGGTGTGTAGGGCTGCATAGCCAATCACAGTCCGAGGAGCGTCGCCTGGCGTCAGTGATAACTCAACAAAGACACACACTGCGCAACCTTACGCGCCGCTTACGTCCGGAGACGCTGGCATGGCGCCAGTGATAACTCAACAAGACACACACACCCAAAATTATATATATATATAAATATATATATATATATATATATATATATATATATATATATATATATATATATATATATATATATATATATATATATATATATATATATATATATATATATATATATATATATATATATATATATATATATATATATATATATATATATATATATACACACAGTTTTACCTCACTTAACTACTTACTGCATAATTTTTACGTGAGGTCCGAATTATTTGATTTGCACCCGCCACCCTGCCTGACTGCCTGTTTTAGCTCATAAAATTCATACAAATTTTAGGCCAGAATATAATTTACATTGCTGGAATTCTTATAATTTGGTGATCATTTTGAATATAAACATCATATATTTTGCTTTAAACTTACAATTTTAGATAAAAAATTTTCTAGGTAACTATGGTATCTTTTTCCAAAAATATATGACATTTATATTCAAAATATTCTGGTCTTACAAGGAATCCAGCAATGTCAATTATATTATCCTAACTTTAGTTTGAGGTATTATTTATTAAAATTTAGTGGTTATCCCCACATCTCCTTGGGACGGTTGGTGGGGGGTGGGGGAGGAGGACCAACCTACCATCTGTTACCGTGTGAAGAATTATTATTTTTTTATTAACTGAAGATATTTGTTTTAGCCCATAAAATTCATACAAATTACCGGTCAGAATATAATTTTCATTGCTGGAATTTTTATAATTTTGATCATTTTAAATATAAACATCATATATTTTGCTTTAAACTTACAATTTTTAGATAAAAATTTTTCTAGGGTAAATTATGTTATCTTTTGTCCAAAATATATGACATTTATATTCAAAATATTCCTGGTCTTACAAGGAATCCAGCAATATGTCAATTATATTTTCCTAACTTAGTTTGAGGTTATCCCACACATCTCCTTGGGACGGTTGGTGGGGGGTGGGGGAGGGGGACCGACCGACCATCTGTTACGGCTGTAGTGTGAGAGGGGAGGGAGTTGAGTCCATTTGAATGGACATTAACTTGCGACTGTATTTATTTCTCTTAAGTATTAATTGTGAGCATGTACCATCATAAAATTAAGATGTTATTTTACTACAACATAGGTATGTGCCTTCAAAAGTGGAGTTTGGGGTCGGCCGGTTTCTATTGGAATTAATCCCATTATGTTCTGTTGTTCATAATGATTTTACCATGGACCCTCTGGGTTCAATTGACCGCTATGTACAAACTGTTACTGGTAGTTCTGCTATAGCGATAGTGTATGTTTGTAAAAAATGAATGTACAGGAAATCACGTAATAGAAATAACAGGGCTTATGGAGAAAATAGTTAGTGCAGATTACTCCAAATCTAAAAAATTTCGAAGTTAGGCCTATCACAAAGGATAGCACAGTTCAAATAAATGTTACATTCATTCAACAGTCGAAATCATACAGTAAAACACACTTTACCTTGAAAAAATATGAATATAACTCTAGCTGGGGGATATGTGCGATGTTGAGGCTGAGGAGTCATGAAAAATAAGTTTTTTCTTCAAGTGTTATAGTTTTTTACGAATACCACCGGAAATGCGATCACCAGAGTGCTTCCTCAGAGATATTCTTCTTCTATAGCCAAAATTGGAGAAACAGTAATCAGAATTTACTGAGGACACTTAAGTTTCCACGCAGCCCAAATAAAGTGTGGATAAAATGAGCGCGGGTTCAAAACGCTATGTATTTTTGTTTTTCTTTATTTAAAATTTTATTTACATATACTGTATTATAGATACTGACACATAAATATTACATAAATTATTTCTGCAATTCTTCATAAAAACAAAACATATAAATCAATTGAACATGTGATGTCGAACGTGAACTGTAACACTGCATAACCCCACATCAAGCCACAATGTACAGTACACTTTAAACGCCTACTTATTTGTTTTTTTTCTTATTTAGAATTTTACAATTTACATATACTGTACAGGTATTTCTTCACAAACAAAAACACATAAATCAATTGGAATATGATGTCGAATGGAACCGTGTAAACACAGAGCCAAGCTTGCCAACACTGTATACAAGTAAGACTTTAACACTTTAAACGCTATTTACTTAGTTTTTTCTCTTTATTTGGGAAGTTTACAATTTACACACACAATAATATATATATATATATATATATATATATATATATATATATATATATATATATATATATATATATATATATATATATATATATATATGTTGTTATATATATATATATTACCTATATTATTCATATTATGCCAGGAAATGCACAAAACATGATAAAACGCTTGAGTCCCCAGTAGATGTCTGCCTTTCATCCAACGGATGTCCGCTTTTGTGCACTGCTCAGGACTCAAGTATTTCTGTATATGACACAGGATGATAAGGGAATTTGAATTTATTTGTTTATTTATTGTTATATATATACTGTAATATATTAAATATACTGCAAGTGATTTTCTTGAATGAGTATATTTGTTTCGCTGTAAAAGGAGGCTACATTTATGGTACCGTATGCACCAAACTCCAATCCATGACGCGTGATTTCTGTCTATTTATATCCCAAATTATCAGTTTCAAGAATTAATGGAAATATTTACTGAATATTTTGCAAAAAATAAATTTTAAATAATTATTTATAAGAGATAAGTATGACTGCAAAAGGTTATTAGATGTATTATTGACCACCTCCACAAGGACGGGCTAAAAATTAGCTTTTGTATGTCACAGTCAAGGTCACTTTCCTTTCTTGTCACTGGCAAAATGGGGGTGGGGGGCTGATAATACAGTCAGAAGCTTAGACATGTATGTTAGACTGGTTTATAATATATTTTTATTATTTTAATATACCGTAATCTTCATTTTAATCCAGCTTACCAAACTAAGTTTGGTATAAAATAATTAGTGGTACTGTAGGACCTTGTGAGTGGTTTTACTGTATACATAAATATTACAAATATTTCTGCAATTCTTCACAAACAAAAAACATACAAAACCTGAACAGAATATGTAGATATTTTAACGTGAACTGTAAACACTGTGTGATGAGAGAGCGGGGAAACGCCGTGAATGATTTCTTTTATGTAAAATTTTACAATTTACTTTTATAATATATAGATACTGTATACACAAATATTACATACATTATTTCCTGCAATTAAAGTTCTACAAAACAAAACACAAAACTCAATTCGAATATGTATACTAAACGTGAACTGAAGCCACAACAACTGCTCGAAAGTGGAATCGCTAGAGTTAAAATGAATCAAGGCTTTTACAAATATCGCTCATCTAGGAATCAATAGAAAGTAAATTACATGTTGTCAAACACGCTATAAGAACTCACTGTATATATATATTATATATATATATATATATATATATATATATATATATATATATATATATATATATATATATATATATATATATATATATATATATATATATATATATATATATATATATATATATATATATATATATATATATATATATATATATATATATATATATATATATATATATATATATATTTTGTATCACTAATCAGAACATATATTAATGCTCGGCAATGAAAACTCAAGTGTACACTGTACAGTACAGTACTGTACACTCTGGAATCTAGTGTCAATGTGAAAAATAACATAATTTCTGTTATTCATCTGACTTTTAGATCCCAGTCACTTAAACTGGGTCCTTGTGGCTGGAAATCTAACCCCCTAGACTTGGTGGGTATACGATACAATACTGAGGTGCTTGATTCCAAACTGTATACTGTACAGGTACAGTACTGTATATGAATACAAGATAAAATTGTAATCATATGAAGGACCTAGAGTCTGACTTGCAATGTATATAAAGTATTATAAACAATTATTAACATAATACTTACAGCATGAACAAGATTACCGGAGACAATCCCTCCAGATTCATGAAAAGTCGTTAAGAGCCCTGCTCCCAGGGCTGCATTGATTATCAAGAACATCGCTTTGTACCAGGAAATTCCTACAAAGAGAAATTAATTTGTAATGCACATGACATACTCACTTTAAATATAACATCACATCTGATACAGTTAACCCTAGACTTCAGTGATAGATACGTTTCTAAGAAAGCTAAACATCTCGAAATTGATTACTGTATACTGTATAACTCAAAATGATAATACTGTATAGTAATAATAATAATAATAATAATAATAATGAATATTCAGTAAAATTGGCATACAGGTTTACAACTGGATAATCATGTTTATAAACTACATAATTATACAATTCATCATGATATATGTAATGTAGCTACACTATACGGTGTATGTTGGCCATTGGAGTACAGTAAACCCTTGATAACCTGACACATATGGGGTTCTGCCGAATTATCCCTAATTACCACTTACCTTCACCTAGAATAATACAGGAAAACATTAAACATTCTCAGCCCATATACATGAACAGGTAATTACTTACTCAAAAAGTAACACTTACCAACACCGCAGGAGGGAGAATGAAGCATTGTAGTAGGGGACGAAAGGAAGAGGTGATGCAAGGGGTAGTGATGCAGGGAGTGGTAGGTGATGGTGGGGGGCAGATGCAGGGGGTGAGTCGAGGGAGTGGGTGTGACAGGTGGTAGGTGCAGGTGGGTGAGAGGGGGTGGTAGGTGATGAGGGGTAGGTGATGGGAGTGGTGGGTGATGCAGGTAGGTGATGCAGGGGGTGGTGGTGGTGCAGGTGGAGGTGATGCAGGGGTGGTAGGTGATGCAGGGGTGGTGGGTGATGCAGAGGTAGGTGATGAGGGAGTGGGTGTGAAGGAGTGTGATGCAGGGTGTGTAGGTGATGCAGGGGTGGTAGGCAGGGGGCAGAAGTTAGGCAGGTAGGGTTGATGGGGCAGGTTATGATGGTAGGTGATAGGGCAGAGGATGATGGAGGAGTTATGATGGGTGTACAGGTGATTAGGGGAGCAGGAGTGAGTGTGGGTGATGCAGGAAGGTGATGATGCAGGGGTGGTGTGGTGCAGGGTGTATGATGGAGGGTTAGGTGGTGAGGGAGTGTGTAGGGTGATGCAGGGGTGGTAGGTGATGATAGAGGGGTTATTGCTAGGTTGGTGATGCAGAGGATGGCAGGTGATTGATGGTAGGTGATTTGTAGGTGATTTGGGGCAGGTGATGGCAGGCAGGGGGTGAGGATGGGGTATGACAGAGGTGTAGGGTGCAGGTGATGATGGGTAGAGGCTGTGCAGGGTGGAGCAGGTGGTGGGGGTGGAGGTGATGAGGTGGTAGGTGATGCAGGGGGTAGGGGTGATGCAGGGGGTAGGTGATGAGGTGGGTAGGTGATGCAGGAGTGTAGGTGATGCAGGGTAGGTCGTGATGCAGGGGGTGGTAGGTGATGGGGGTGGTAGGTGATGCAGAGGGTGAGGTGCAGGGGAGTGGTAGGGTGATGCAGGGGGTGTGTGGATGCAGGGGTAGAGAGATGCAGGGGAGTGGTAGGTGATGCGGGAGTGGGTAGGTGATGCAGGGAGGTAGGTGATGCAGGGGAGTGGTAGGTGATGCAGGGGTGAGGAGGTGATGCAGGGGTGGGTGATGCAGGGGAGTGGTAGGTGATGCAGGGAGTGTTAGGTGATGCAGGGGATGGTGGTAGGTGATGCAGGGAGTGGTAGGTGATGCAGGGGTGGTAGGTGATGCAGGGGGTGGTAGGTGATGCAGGGGTGGTAGGTGATGCAGGAGTGGTAGGTGATGCAGGGAGTGGTAGGTGATGCAGGGGTGGGTGATGCAGGGGTGGTAGGTGATGCAGGGGGTGGTAGGTGATGCAGGGGTGGTAGGTGATGCAGGGGTGGTAGGTGCAGGGGTGATCGGTGATGCAGGGGTGGTAGGTGATGCAGGGGTGGTAGGTGATGCAGGGGTGGTGGGGTGATGCAGAGGGGTGGTAGGTGATGAGGGGTGGTAGGTGATGCAAGGGAGTGTCCAGTGCAGGGGGGGTGGAGGTGATCAGGGGGTGGTAGGTGTGATGCAGGGGTGGTAGGTGATGGGGGTGGTAGGTGATGCAGGAGTGGTAGGTGATGCAGGGGAGTGGTAGGTGATGCAGGGGTGGTAGGTGATGCAGGGGGTGGTAGGTGATGCAGGGGTGGTAGGTGATGCAGGGGGTGGTAGGTGATGCAGGGGAGTGGTAGGTGATGCAGGGGTGGTAGGTGATGCAGGGGTGGTGAGGTGATGCAGGGGTGGTAGGTGATGCAGGGGTGTGATGATGCAGGGGTGGTGGGTGATGCAGGGAGTGGTAGGTGATGCAGGGGTGATAGGTGATGCAGGGGGTGGTAGGTGATGCAGGGTGTGGTAGGTGATGCAGGGGAGTGGTAGGTGATGCGAGGGTGCGGGTGATGCAAGGGGTGGTAGGTGATGCAGGGGGTGGTAGGTGATGCAGGGGGTGGTAGGTGATGCAGGGGAGTGGTAGGTGATGCAGGGGGCGTGGGGTGCAGGGGTGGTAGGTGATGCAGGGGTGGTGGGTGATGCAGGGGTGGTAGGTGATGCAGGGGTGTGGGTGATGCAGGGGTGGTGGGTGATGCAGGGGGTGGTAGGTGATGCAGGGAATGGTAGGTGATGCAGGGGTGGTATGTGATGCAGGGAGTGGTAGGTGATGCAGGGGAGTGGTAGGTGATGCAGGGGTGGTAGGTGATGCAGGGGGTGGTAGGTGATGCAGGGGTGGTAGGTGATGCAGGGAAATGGTAGGTGATGCAGGGGGTGTGGGTGATGCAGGGAGTGGTAGGAGATGCAGGAAATGGTAGGTGATGCAGGGGGTGGTAGGTGATGCAGGGGTGGTAGGTGATGCAGGGGTGGTAGGTGATGCAGGGAATGGTAGGTGATGCGGGGTGTGGGTGATGCAGGGGTGGTAGGTGATGCAGGGGAATGGTAGGTGATGCAGGGGTGGTAGGTGATGCAGGGGTGGTAGGTGATGCAGAGTGGTAGGTGATGCAGGGAAGTGGTGGGTGATGCAGGGGTGGTAGGTGATGCAGGGGTGGTGGGGATGCAGGGGTGGTAGGTGATGCAGGGATGGTAGGTGATGCAGGGATGGTAGGTGATGCAGGGGAGTGGTGGGTGATGCAGGGGGTGGTAGGTGATGCAGAGTGTAGGTGATGCAGGGGTGGTAGGTGATGGGGGTGGTAGGTGATGCAGGGGAGTGTAGGTGATGCAGGGGTGGTGGGTGATTAGGAGGTGGGTAGGTGATGCAGGGGAGTGGTAGGTGATGCAGGGGTGGTAGGTGATGAGCAGGGAGTGGTAGGTGATGCAGGGGTGGTAGGTGATGCAGAGGGTGGTAGGTGATGCAGGGAGTGGTAGGTGATGCAGGGAGTGTCAGTGATGCAAGGGGTGGTAGGTGATGCAGGGGTGGTAGGTGATGCAGGGGTGGTAGGTGATGCAGGGAGTGGTAGGTGATGCAGGGGGTGGTAGGTGATGCAGGGGTGGTAGGTGATGCAGGGGTGGTGAGGTGATGCAGGGGTGGTAGGTGATGCAGGGGTGGTAGGTGATGCAGGGGGTGGTAGGTGATGCAGGGGGTGGTAGTGATGCAGAAATGGTAGGTGATGCAGGGGTGGTATGTGATGCAGGGGAGTGGTGAGATGAGGGAGTGGTAGGTGATGCAGGGTGGTAGGTGATGCAGGGGGTGGTAGGTGATGCAGGGGTGGTAGGTGATGCAGGAAATGGTAGGTGATGCAGGGGGTGGTAGGTGATGCAGGGAGTGGTAGGAGATGCAGGAAATGGTAGGTGATGCAGGGGTGGTAGGTGATGGGGGTGAGGCAGGTGATGCAGGGGTGGTAGGTGATGCAGGAAATGGTAGGTGATGCAGGGGGTGGTAGGTGATGCAGGGGGTGGTAGGTGATGCAGGAAATGGTAGGTGATGCAGGGGTGGTAGGTGATGCAGGGTGGTAGGTGATGCAGAGTGGTAGGTGATGCAGAAATGGTAGGTGATGCAGGGGTGGTAGGTGCAGGGGTGGTAGGGGATGCAGGGGTGGTAGGTGATGCAGGGAATGGTAGGTGATGCAGGAAATGGTAGGTGATGCAGAGTGGTAGGTGATGCAGAGTGGTAGGTGATGCAGGGGAGTGGTGGGTGATGGGGGTTGAGGTAGGTGATGCAGGGGTGGTAGGTGATGCAGGGGAGTGGTGGGTGATGCAGGGGGTGGTAGGTGATGCAGGGGTGGTAGGTGATGCAGGGGAGTGGGTAGGTGATGCAGGTGGGTGGTGGGTGATGCAGGGGAGTGGTAGGTGATGCAGGGGGTGGTAGGTGATGCAGGGGTGGTAGGTGATGCAGGGGAGTGGTAGGTGATGCAGGGGAGTGGTAGGTGATGCAGGGAAGTGGAAGGTGATGGAAATGGTGGGTGATGCAGGGGGTGGTGGGTGATGCAGGGGTGGTAGGGGATGCAGGGGTGGTAGGGGATGCAGGGAGTGGTGGGTGATGGGGGAGTGGTGGTGCAGGGAATGGAAGGTGATGCAGGGGAGTGGTAGGTGATGCAGAGTGGTAGGTGATGCAGGGTGGTAGGTGATGCAGGGGTGGTAGGTGATGCAGGGAGTGGGTAGGTGATGCAGAGTGGTAGGTGATGCAGGGGTGGTAGGTGATGCAGGGAGTGGTAGGTGATGCAGGGAGTGGTAGGTGATGCAGGGGAGTGGTAGGTGATGCAGGGGTGGTAGGTGATGCAGGGGGTGGTAGGTGATGCAGGGGTGGTAGGTGATGCAGGAATGGTAGGTGATGCAGGGGAGTGGTAGGTGATGCAGGGGAGTGGTAAGGTGATGCAGGGGAGTGGTAGGTGATGCAGGGGAGTGGTAGGTGATGCAGGGAAATGGTAGGTGATGCAGGGTGGTAGGTGATGCAGGGGTGGTAGGTGATGCAGGGAGTGGTAGGTGATGCAGGGAGGTGGTAGGTGATGCAGAAATGGTAGGTGATGCAGGTGGTGGGTGATGTAGGGGAGTGGTAGGTGATGCAGGGAGTGGTGGGTGATGCAGGGGGTGGTAGGTGATGCAGGGAGTGGTGG